TTTTATTTTTATTTAATTTTGTATTTTTTTTTTGGGAAAATAGAAATTTATAATTTTTTCCTTTTAAAATTAATCAAAATGTGGTCAAACTGATTTTTTGGTTGACTAACGGAGAAATTAACAGAAAATTGATGGAAAGACGGCAAATATAAATTGAAAATTTTACCAAGGGGTATAATATATAACTCTTGTTTGATTATCATTATTTTTAAAATACATTTTTCTTTCTGTTCATTTCAATTACATATTTTTTAGTAAAATAATATTACAAGTAAATTCAAATTTTTTCTTAATTTTTAACTACATATTTTCCATCAATCTATTATTTCAAAATACATTCTTAGATTATAACGGAGTTCAAACGTGCTTATAAATTTATGGTTAAATTTTTTTTTTTCATAATCGTTGGATAACAAACTCCAAAAAGTTGGATAATTTGAAATATCGCTATTAAAATCACTAAATACCGATCCATTAATAAATACTTAAAATTGATACTTTAAAAAATGATTGTGCATTGAACTCCCAAGCATGTCCTAACCCCAAATCTGTCTCCTTCTCTGGAAGCCTGAAACAGAGACCAACAGAAGGCCCTAAGCCCAAATCTGTATCCCAATTCGTTCCAAACCCTAAGCCCCAAATCTGTCTGCTCCACAATCGAACGCCCTCCAAATCCGAACAGGAAGAAATTGTAATCGAACCTGTTGGTACTCGCGGCTGCCTGAAGAAGTGAATCCGAACCTGCATCTTCTCCTGCTGTCAATTGAAGTTCGCAAAATTTAAGCTTTATAATCGTCTTCCTGGAAATTGAATGGCATAATGAACATAAAATCAAAATTCAATTCAAATTTTCATTCATGTGTAACTACTTTGGCAATCAGTCTGAAAATTATAGTTCATGGATGTAAGCTACACTGATAATGAAAGAACAATGTTATGTGCGTTTTCAGACAACTAGAAGTTGAACGAGGGAAGCCGAGATAACAGTAGAATTCCCCGCAACTGGGGAATTCCCAGTAAACCTGAAGCTTTGCTCGTAACTATTTTTCTCCTTCATTCTTTCTTCAACTCTTGTTTCTCCAGGACAAAAAAGTTACAAATGAAATACAAAAATTTTCAATATGCAAACATTTTTCTAAATCTGATTTTGGTCTTTTCTTTGGGTTTTTTAAGAAGGATTAAACTAGTTGTACATTCCTAGTGTACAAAGTTTGACACCGTGTGATGTGTAGAAAACTTTTCCATTGATTTGAATAAGTGTTATTAAAATCAATGGCCATGATTGCTGCCATGTCAAATAATGACAAAATTTATGTCAACCACGATGTACATTTAGTAGAATTGTTTCAAGAAGGGGAGAGGTGTGTTTGGGAGCAACGATTTTATGAGTTGTCCTCCACATTGGAGACCTATTTAAATTTTGGACTAAGTTAATTACCTTGTTTGATTATCGTCATCTACGTAGGCGAAAAGAGAAACGAAATGTAAGTGACGGAGTGCAAATGTCTAAAGTTGAGTGGCCAGTGAAATGCATTGTGTAGTTGGGTGAGTAAGCCGTGATCTCCGTAGCATGGACACTTCAATTAAGGTAGCGTGTCTGTATCTAACACGTGTCGTGTCGGTCGATACCGACACTTTTCGGACCTTCAACCGTAATAATTTTTCTTTTTATATAGCACGGACACTTTAATTAGGGTAGCGCTTGTCGGACATGAGTTGATACCGACACTTCTCGGATACTCTACTATAATCATTTTTCTTTTTATATTCGAAATATTATATATTGTTAATTCAAAGTTGTTAGTAAGTAACAAATATGAGTATATTTAAAAGATTTCAAAAAAAAAAATTAATAATAAGTATAAAACTAAATTTATGCTATATAAATGAAGAATTTTTAAGAATTTAATCAACGTGTCGTGTCTATACTTTTTTTAAAAATAGAGCATCGGCGTATCCGACACACGTATCCGTGTCGGTGCATCATAGGCCGTGACATTAACCAAAGTTCGGTAAGTGTTCAAACATTTAACTCTCTACTCTCGTTCCAATTTGCTGCTGCTTCTAACTTTTTCTTGGAGTTCAAATTCTTCAAACTGAATAATCCCACAGGCAATCAGGCCCAGCAGAAATAACTGAAATTTTTGATCCTCATAATCTTTCATTCCACAAGCAAACATGGCTGAACCCTTATCTCTATGACTGTATGCTGGAAAAATTTGGGTTTGGCATTTTACTTTATGTTTGCCGTATTTCCCTCGAGCAAAAGCTTCAATATGAAGTGATCTTGCATCAAATCAGAATTTGAATGGTGCGGATTCTCATTATTCTGGGAAATCAATGAAACAGAATTACTGAATTCATCAATCATAATTTCTTGAGGTTTTGGATCGTTTGTTCCCTGTCTGATTATCATCGCATGATAAGTCCATTAATGGAGGCAAATTAGTTGAAGTTTATTTATAAATGAACTTTTAAAACTAGGCCGAACACATTATTTGGTCTGACCTGCTCTGATTTTTTTTTTTCATCTTTCATTTGAAAACTCAGTCCTCAAAAATTAATATAGGATAAGCTAGTCAAGAACAATGAGCATACTTCCCTGTAGGTAATTACCAATTTTTGTGTAACAAACAAGGAGACTACCAAATTTTACTGCTACTATGTACTAACATCTGCCAGCAATCTCATTAATAAGCATTTATATGTTCTTAATTAGTTTGGTTATCTCTAAGCTCTGCTCTATCTTCAGACTCCTTAAATTTTAGCAAATCAAAGAGGCCCAAGTTCCCGTGTAGCTTTGGAGGAACGTTTTGCAAATTTGGAAGACTAATATATCACCCTTTTAAGTATATTAGAAGTTAGAAGGTAAGTAACCAATCATTTTTATATTGTGATTTTTGGTTGTATAGTATATACATATTTGCTTTGGTGTTTTTATTTACATATATGTACACACGTCTGTATATTTGAGTGTTTCATATACCATTTGATTGATGTCATTGCAGTTATAGCGATTATAGTAGGAGATGAGGAAGGCTTCAGAATCCATACAGTTCACCAAGCAGCCGTACATTGAAGATGTTGGCCCTCGAAGAATGTATGCATACCATGTTCTTATATCTTCATAAATTGAATCCGTTGTTCATATATAGTAGTCATTGAATGAACAAAGTGCACTTAGGTGCTAGGACTTCTGGGCTTAAGAGCAAAGCAAATCTCCCTTTTCATCAAAGCGAAAACACATGGCATTTTACCAATTTTCAATAAATTTAAGCAAATATAAGGCACATCTAAGCACAAGTTGGATGAAGAAATACCCAACAGAAGCATGTCTTCCCACCTAATACGCTGCCTTATTAGCAATTCTTTGGTTCGAAAGTCCAGATCTTATGCCTTGAAATTGGCATCTCGTTAGACTTTAGTCAATGCGGGACGTCATTTAACCATTGTTATCAAACTTCCTTTACATTTTTTGATTTCATCAGAACAAATTTACGTGTCATTTTTTCAGAGAGAGCATTAAGTTTTCCATGTTCTCTGAGACCGAAATTCTAAAAGCTGCTGAAGTGCAAGTGTTCCGTGGTGTCTACTATGATCCCAGCAAAAAGCCCATCGATCACGGCTTATTAGACCCTCGCATGGTAATCCTCTTGGTTCTCTTATAATTTTTTATATTGTAGCAGTATTGGACGACATTACACCTTTTTGAGAAAAAATGAAACATACTTTTGCAATTCTGTAGCGTCTCACTCGGATATTTTGCTTTTCAGGGCCCTCCAAACAAGAATGGATTTTGTAAAACTTGTCATGGTAACTTTCGAGAATGTCCAGGGCACAGTGGATACTTGACTCTCGCTCTCCCTGTTTATAACGTTGGATATTTAAGTACTATAGTCGAGATCTTGAAGTGCATTTGCAAGGTATCAACTTATAAGTCTCTTCTTTCTTGCGTTTGCTTATCTTGGATGGAAGTTTGATTCTCCCTAAATTAGGAGGCGGCCTGATTCTTCTTATGATTATCAATTCAACCTCTAATAGAAAGATATACCTATTCCTTGGTTATATTTGATGTCTTCAACAATTCCAGGAATGAACATAACAGTCCTATCATTCCGATAGATAGAAGTACCTATAATTAGCTTTTTGGTAAATTTCCTAAACCGTCAATTTCAACAAAATCTTTCAATTTCTTATTTTAGTGTGTTCCACTCTATGTATTCTGTTATTGATCTTGGAAAAGTCATACCTCAAAGCTAATTGTTGAAGTTTGAGATCCCAAATCTATATAAACCCATGCCAAAAGCCCATACTTTCAATGTGATGGGAACCATGACATATTCCCATGTGTACAAAAATGGTTGTGATAGATTTACTTAGATTTGTATTAACAACTACTCGAGGAGGAATATATGTATGTGGTTATAACATTTACCATCTTCGTGGTTCCATAATATTTCAATTTATGCTCCTACCAGTTATCTAGATATACCAACAAAGATGTACAGTCTAATGCGGTTACTATGCAATATTAAATCATGCTTGGGCAAGCTCTTCAATTCTGGTTTCAATCTTATCTGCAACTTTTTTTTCCCTTCGCAATAAGCCTCATAATCAAGGACAACCTGCATTATGAAATTGTTCATATCTAACCTAAGGAAGAATTAGGAACTTTGGTCATGTTAAAGATAGTAACAGACTCAAATTTTAAAGTAGATGGGCCTTGTAATATGGTTACAAGGTAACACAAAGAAACCTAGTTAGATATGTTATTTAGAGCTTGTTTGGGAGGTATTAAATTTGGATTATTATTGTTGACTTTTATTCGACGGGTGGATCCAATAACGGCTATATTCTCAATTTTAATTGGATTAAAATCCCTCCCAAACAAGCTCTTATATTAATTTTTTATATAGAAGCATAACTGAGTTATAGTTCTTCGGACCAAGTTGTTAAAGCTGATATGTGGTCAAACTGTCCAAACGCTGATTCATAGAGCTGAAAGTTTTTATTCTGACATTCCCATATCCTAAATTCTTTCAACAGAAATGTTCCCGAGTACTTCTCGAGGAGAAAGATCGTCGAGACTTTCTGAAGAAGATGAGAAATCCAAAACTTGAGCCTTTATGGAAGAAGGAGCTACAGAAAAGAGTAATAAAAAAGTGTAATGCGATGACAGGAAGTAAGAAGGCAGTAAGATGTTCCAGATGCGGATACATAAATGGTTAGGATCCTACTTCTTTCTCTGGCTGAGTTGCGATATGATTATATATTTGCAGCATGCCTGTTCATTGTATATGTATGCAGAAATACGTTACAATTCTGTCTTCAAGTAATGTATATGCATGTGAATCTGAGAATTGATATATATGGCAGTCCTAAAATAAATATGTACTGAAGAGTCTTCATAACATCTAATCTGCCTAGGCGCCTTGTTAGATTTGTTGGATGATGCAGATTGATAAATGCTTCCATCTGGAATGTCCATCTGCCACATGGCTGATCAAACGATCTCAAGGGTTGTTAATAAAGTGTATACTTTATAAAGAATTGTGGAAAAGCCTCAATAGTGGCAGACCACGACTTTATCAACAATAGGAAAACCCAAAAATACACTTGCCCCTATAACTGTCTCCTTTTCTGCCATAACTAGAAATCCCTAATAATCTAAGGGAATACTGATAGTCATCTATATATGAAAGTCTTCGTAGAGTCTAAAAATAATGCCTTTCTCGATGCTTATGACGCTTCCAATTTTCTGAATGCAGGTGTGGTTAAAAAGGCACTTCTTGGAGTCCAGCATGATCGTGCAAAAGTTGTTGACAATTACTTGGAAAAATGCAGCTCAGCTCTTTCTCACAAAAAGGAGTTTAAAGGAAAAATGAATATGCCTTCTGTGCTAGATGCCAAAGTAGTTCATTCTCTTTTTAGGAATATGTTGGAAGAGGTACCATCTTTGTGATTTTCCTCATTTGAGGAACTTACGAAGAAATTCTTGTAGTATTAGGGCTTGACATCCTTGATCAGTTTTACAATCTCGCCTTTGCACTTTCGATCCCTCTGTTTTTCATTTTGTTCCCGTGTTTTCACAGGATTGTGACTTGCTTTATCTTCATGATAGACCAGAGAAACTCATCGTGACAAATATTCTTGTGCCTCCAAGTGCTATCCGCCCTTCTGTTTTTGTGGATGGTGGAACACAGAGGTAATTTCCAACCTGAATATATTGTATACTGGGTTCCTTCAATTTTTGGTAAGAGATATGGTGTATTTTGAGTGTTCATTACCATGGTATGAAAAAACCCTGCTGAGGCCCGCCTTACTGTGAGGCGCAGCTTCTGTGCCTCGAGGCTCAATCTGTGAGGCAAAAAAAATGAGGCGCACACCTCTACATCTGAGGTAAAAAAAAATGAGGCGTGCGCCTCATTTGAAGTACGTTTTTTTCAAGTTTTTGAAAATGAATTAAAAAAGAGAATGGCCCATTTAAAAAGACATTTTGGGCCAAACAAAATATTAAAATATCTAGAATACCAAAAGGCAGCCAGAAATCCTTCTACACTGCAGACAGAAATCTTCCTAGATGGCTAGATTGCACCTGTTCTGTTCGACAGATTACACCTGTTTTGTTTGTGGTGAGGCTTACGCCTCAAAATGTTTTGAGGCTCACGTCTCGCCTCATGACAAAAAAAAGCCTCAATATCCGTTTACGTTTTTTCAAACTATGTTCATTACATCATGTTCTCTAGTGTATTTATAAATTGAATACCATACTATTTAAAAAAAAAATTGGGGCTAAGGTGAACCTTTTTGAATGAAAATGAAATTTGTGATATTATTGGTATATGTGAGAAGAAGGTGGAATTGGAGGGAGGGAGGGAGGAACTTCTATTTAGGGAAATGGATGCCGTTTGGTTTAAATTATGAGTCATGAGAGGCATGATATTCATAAGAGTGCTGATACGTGCATTCCTTTTGAATCGTGAGAGGTCTTGATACATGCCGCAAAATCATACTTGTAGTGGATATATTTATGGATTGAGAGCCCGTTTGCCATGGATTTTGAGAAGTCAAAATGAGCTTTTGAGACCCAATAGTTGCTTTTGGACGCGTTCGACAAATTTTATGAAAGTGTTTCTTCTAGTTAGAAGATCTTTTGAGAAAGTTGATCCAATGTGGATTCTTCTAAAAGCATTTCCGGTTTAAAATTAGTTTCTGAACAAAAATTAAGGTAGCTTCTCGAGGAAACTCTTTTATAGGATGCAAAAGTAAAAGTAAAAGTCATATAATGAGCCCTAAATATATGAAATCTTTGATAACATGATGCTGCTGTAGCATTACAATTTGACAATGAACAATTGAGAAGAAAAAGAACAAGAAAAGAAAGGGAATCGAAGAAGAGAAGAAATTAGGACAAAGAGGAAATCAATTTATTCATATATTAAATGGTACCAATTACAATGAGTAAGCCCTCAATGTTCTACAAGCAACAGAGCAACTTATAAATTAGAACTTTATCAATATATTAAGACTAATATAATCTAATTTAAATAAACATAATTTGAATTAAACTCTAATTTAAAATAATATCTAAATCTTATATTTATTCTATCTCCATCACTTGCCTTCTGTTGTCTCCTTGAGTTGAAGTTCTATAATAGAGTGGGAATGCTGCTGAAGCCTGATGATGTACAGAAGTTGAGCAACAAAAAGGCTTGGAACTGAACATATGGAACAACTGACAATTTTATGCACAAGGATAGTACAAAAGGCTAAGAAAGCCTCCACAGAATTAATACTAATGACCGATACTTTTAGAAAAATTGGCAAATACGCTCTTTGTTTGACCGACTCGCCTGACAATCACATTACTCATTAAATTATAAGGCATGACAAATATTTATCCCTACTAAATTTGGAAGTATAGCTTAAAAATCAAAATCACAAGTCATGATTGAAGAAAACATACAAAAGATCAGTAATATCAGCTCACGGACCTCACAGCTCTTATGCAATCAGTCGCTCCAAAATTACCCTTTCAGGAGAGCGAAGCAGCGGGCTTTCTTGTTTCTTGGATGAGAGATTCCCTTTTGGCTTTTAAAATATAAATGGTTGACCAGTTGGTTCATATGTGGATAATCAGTTGGATTTTTTTATTCGAATTGAAATGCATTATGAATAACACGCTTTTTGCTAAAAATTCTAGTACCATGCATTCCCTAGAGTGGGACTAATACTTTGCCACATAAGTTCATCATAAATAATTGCTCAAAGGGTAGAACTATTGTGTTCACCACGTTGTAGATAGATTTCATGCTGCTTGTGTAAAAATTGATATGCAGACCACTGCATTACAATTGAATGGGAAGGATGGTATATCAAACCTTAAGCCAACTGGATATTCACCTAAACTTTTGTTGCTGATCCAGGCCAGGAGAGCAATTTAATTGATAAGCAAAGTGTCAGATTGGTGCTACTTTTTGGTTTTATGTCAATTTTTCTCTTCTCCCTTCTGTAATTGAGGAGCCAAAAAGGGGAAGAGAGAAAACTTTTGAAAAATTTCAACCCTTTCATCTATTGTTGCAGCAATGAGAACGACACTACAGAGAGGTTAAAGCGAATCATTCAGGCAAATGCTAGTCTTCGCCAGGAAATATCAGAGTCAAACCTTCATAGCAAAAGCTTGGTAAGATAATTTTCATGCTCTGTTTTAAATTTACATTTCTGTTGACACAATCTCTTAATTAGTTACTTCTTAATATTGTGCATGTCTATTTGGTTCTAACAGTGGTCGTGGTTTTGCCTACAATTTTCTCTTATTGTTATTATCATACCATCATGATTCTTTGATATGTCATTTATGATTTGAAAAGTATGCTTTGTATACAAGTAAGGTGGATATGCGGGTGAACTTTCTGAATTGTTTAAATTACTAAAAATTTATAGAAGTTGCAGATGGGGTAACAATAGTAAAACCCACCTCCAATTTGAATATTTACTTCCGTTCACAGAAAAGATATGTACACTTGGGGAATCAATTCATATATGATGTAATACAAGGTTTTGACATGCATCTTGAGATCAAGCTTGACAGTAGTGATAGAATGCATGGAGGCGCCCAACGAGCATGCTTGAAAGTGCAAAATTTACTCGGTCCTTAAATAATTAAGTTCTATTTATTTTGAGTTTCAAATACTTTGTTTCCAATAGATGAAGGAAAAGAAGATACACTTTAGACCCAAAGCTCCCTATATTCATGAACATAGCCTGTTCACGATTCTCTGGATTCTGTTGGCAACTTTTTTTTTTTTTTCTCTGATATTGGATCAGATTACTACCTGCTGCTATTATTGTTATTTTTGCGGTCGTACACTTTGGTAACTTCCAGGATTTTCATGATGTATGTGAGTGCTGATTTCTGAAACTATCATTTCTGTAAAGTTTCTTGTATTAGAACATTACTGCTGTGCTGATGCATCATGCACTTAGTCTTCTTGTACAGTCTTTCAGAAAATGTAGAATTGACTTGTCCTGACCAAGTGTTCTATTTAAAATGTTGGATCAGACTAGTTTGGTCGATCTTCAAATGGAGTATGCACAGTATATAAACAGTGATGTCCGTGGTATTCCGTCGCACTTGCCCGCTGCCAAGCCATTGACTGGCTTTGTTCAGAAACTCAAAGGGAAAGCAGGGCGTTTTCGTGGGAATCTGTCGGGGAAGCGTGTAGAGTATACTGGAAGGACTGTTATATCTCCTGATCCAAACCTGAAAATTACCGAGGTCTGAATTTAAAGTGAGATTTGAATTAATTTTGGACTGGTCATATTTTTTTATTTGAATGCTCTCCTGTGTTCAGGTTGCTATTCCAATCCTAATGGCGCGAATTTTAACTTATCCTGAGCGTGTTTCACATCATAATATAGAGAAGTTGAGGCAGCGTGTACGTAATGGGCCAAATAAATACCCTGGAGCAAAGTTTATAAGGCACCCTGATGGTACCGAGATGTATGGACTGGACTACCTTCTATAATCTAATATGTAATTCTTTTGAGAGGAGTATTTGGGCTAATGGGATTTTATCTGTTGCAGATCTCTAATGTTCTCATCCAGAAAGCGTCACGCGGATGAACTTAAATATGGCTATATTGTTGATCGTCATCTGGAAGATGGAGACGCTGTTCTGTTTAATAGACAACCAAGTTTGCATCGTATGTCAATCATGTGCCATCGGGTAATTATCGTTATCAGTACAGAGCATTTTCTTGAACTCTCCAAACCACAACCATATGCATTATCTAAAATATTTGTTGCTTGTAGGCAAGGATAATGCCTTGGCGAACTCTGAGATTTAATGAGTCAGTTTGCAATCCATACAATGCAGATTTTGATGGTGATGAGATGAATATGCATGTTCCCCAAACTGAAGAGGCTCGTGCAGAGGCTATTATGCTAATGGGGGTAACATACTTTGACTTTTTACAGTGTTATTCCCGACTTGTGCTAATAGCTGGTCCAATTTAGTCTTACTGATATTTCACTTTGGGCACATATGGTGTATATACAGTGTTTGTGTTTAGATTATCTGTACATCCTCAACAACTTTTTAAACCATCAGATCAACTATTTGATTGATGCCCATAACACAATTTTCGTACCATAATCAGTTTTGGGAATTTAGATATTTACATTATGCTATGGAAGTGGACTTCTCATCCTCATTTGCAGTCACCTCGTTTTTGCATGTTATCCTGTGCTACATAATCTTTCTTTATGCAATAATAAATTTGTTTGCTTAATATTAAGAATGTTTACTCGTGGGCTGTTATTTCTGATGCTATGGCTTGTGATTCTTTTTATCATCATTATGGTTAATAGCTTTTTAGGTAGTTTATGGACGGATTCTTGAATTTGTTTCACGTGGGCAGGTGTTATCTTACCTGTTGTCAGAAGATCTATGTGGTTTTTTTGGCGCCAAAGCTTAAAACAGAACTCGCTAAATTCCAGTGTATATTCCTTTTTTTAAGAAAAATAAATATTTTAATCTGCCATCCCTTGCGTGTCGGCACAGTTAAGGATGGGTGGCTGCAGGTTAGGACTTCCGTTATTTTTTTTAAAAAGGAAAATCTTATCTTGACCGTGTTTTAAACATATAATTCTTTATTTGCTAAATTATTATAGTCGGCGATAATATCATAGTCACATAAATATCATTAGTGCAAAACATATGATAATAAATAAAAAATTAGATTTGTTTTGAAGTTCACAATAAAGAATAACAATCTGTTGCATAAGAGGGCCAATATTTGGTACTTCGATAATGAATCCTGAATTTGGTCTTAGGGTTTGGGGGAGTGTATGCCAACTTAAACCACCTTCGTACTATGAGTTCTCTTAATAAGAGCAATGAGTTGTTTTATGCTTGTTACACTTTAAGATTGGATAAGACATATAGCTGGAATGATTTTATAACTAGACCATCATCAATTTAGCATTTTCTTCCATGGCATGGAAATAATTTTAGGGGCAAATTATCAACTCATCCTTAGTATGTTTTTGGGATCCACTAGAGGAGGATTAGGGGGTTAGGATTCCTCAACCATAATATATATGGAACTCACTTGAATACATGGGAGGGGGCGGAAGCCTGACTTCCAAAAAAGTAGTAAATGTATAGAAAACAGTAAATGAGAAGGTACCACCTCCCTTACAAGGGTAAAGAAGCAAAAGTAAACTATAGCCCTCTAACACTAGATATAGCATATCAGTCAATCTGTATCAGTAATCTTCGAGGAAGGTCTAGGGATCCATACTCCTCGTAATGGTGTTGTTCTCAACCTACAGTGGCAAGTAAGTCAGCTACTTGATTCCCCTCAAGGTAAAAATTTGTCTCGATCCATGGTGTGGAAAGATAAGAAACAGAAATTGCTGTATTAAATTGTTGGAAAAAGTAGTTCTAATACATTCACTGGATCGAGAGCTAACTATGTTGTACTTTTACGACTGCAGAAATATTATTATTAAACATATGAAATGTCATCGAGTCTTTACATATCACCTAATATATTTCTGAAACTGGACGTTTTTTAATCATAAATGTAGTTGTTAATTGTTATTACCTGTGGCCACGGAGACTGAACTGTCTTTGACAGGAATTTTGGCAACAGTAAAGGGATATTTAATATACTTAGGTGGTAGAGGGAGGAGCAGGTATCATACTAGGCCCCACCTCAGTGCTGTATAATAAACTGATCACAAAATGGAGGTAAAATTTGAAACTGATTAATTCCAATTACTATGCTACCAATTACTATGCTAATATTAGCGAGAAAGTGGTTCCCTCCATAAATGGGTGAAAATGCAAGGAGAACGAATTCTTGTTTCTCTACATAAATTGTTTGGGAGAGAGGACAAAATTACATAATCTGTTGACATATTCTTATAAATGAACTCTTCCCGGTGGCTGGCAAAATAAAAGGAAATAAAAAAAGAGAAAAAAAAAAAAAGATAGAAAAGGAAAGGGAAAAAAAGGGAACTGGTGAGATTGGAAGGAGAATGAGTTCCCATTTTTGTCTACTGTTTTTAAGTATTGTTTTGGCTTTCTATCGATTAGTTCACTTTCAAACTTTGTCCGATTTTCTTACATACCATGGGAGAAGTATCACCAATTCATATGATGCTTTTCAATTGGATCTCTCTTTTGACATCATTACACCAATTTACCAGAAACTTGTTCTTGGTTGGATTCAATGATCAAAATAACTTCAAAAATATCATCATTACGTGCGTGCTAGATGATGGAGACAGCCTTTTAATACTAGCATTTTTAGCGGTGATACTATGCCCCTTTTTTATTGCTTTGTTCATAGCTATATCTATGTAACCTGTTTTGATGCTTTATAATAATGTTGCAGGTGCAGAACAATTTATGCACTCCAAAGAATGGTGAAATCTTGGTAGCTTCAACACAGGATTTCCTAACATCCTCCTTTCTCATAACAAGAAAAGACACCTTCTATGATCGTGCTTCTTTTTCACTTATGTGTTCCTATATGGGGGATGCTATGGACCCAATTGATCTGCCAACACCAACGTTAATTAAGGTTGAGTTTGAGAATTTGTGCATTGTAATTTTAAATACAAGGTCACTGTTCTTGAAATCTTTCATCATTTTTCACATGCAATCTGGAGTTCTCCGTCATTTATTAATTCTGGGTATTTTATTATACCTAAAAATGTTCCTGCTAATTTAATGTTGTGAAGTCGTGAATGTACGTCTATTTTCTCATTCATCGTGAGACAGAGATTTATGGAATTTTGATACTTATCCTAAAATTTGCATCCCAGCGTGTATTCCTGGTCTTTTTTCCTTCACTGCTAAATTTATTTTTTCTCTACTGCTTTTTGAACAAGGATATTTTATCTCATTTTGTTGTTTTTGCAGCCAGTAGAACTCTGGACTGGTAAACAATTGTTTAGTGTATTACTGCGGCCACATGCGAAAATGAGAGTCTACGTAAATCTTACTGTTGCAGAAAAAACTTATAGCAAGCCTAAAGGTGAAAAGGAGAAGCCTAAGGAAACGATGTGTCCAAATGATGGGTTCGTTTATATTCGTAATAGTGAACTGATTAGTGGACAACTTGGGAAAGCTACTTTAGGTTTGTGTCCTTTCTATCCCTTTATAAAGTCATAAGGTTCTTATTCGTCCCTTATTTTTGGGTTTCTTTAGGAAGAGATTTGCGATGTGTGAGAAGATTATTTGCAATTGTCAATTTACTCTGTGTTCTTTGATTGATGCATTGCGTGTGTTTGTGCATCTGCAATCCATTATTCATGGAGGTTCTGCTAATTGTAATGGTGTCTGAAGTTTTGATGTAGGATAATCCTATTTCAAATAGGACTGATTTTATCTCTTCTTCTTCTTCTTTCTCATTTTCTACAAATTTCGAGTTTTTTTTTTTTACTTTATTCTTATTCCAAGAATTCTGGCTGCTTTTGCATCAAATTGTATTGCCTAACCTTGGATTCTAGAATGTCTTTTTTACCTCTCCACTTCCTTTTTGCTTCCGATGTCATATTTAACAGTTGGTGGTTCCTCAAAAGTAAAATCAATATTTTTGTATGTATCAGTAAGTTTGAAATTTGTTCGGATGAAACTTCTGCATTCTAGAAACTACCTTCTTCATTTTTGACAGAATGACTTTCTAAAGGCACTTGAAACCTCCAGATCTGAATTGCAAAATTGACAAGGCAAAATTATGTTCACTAAGATTCTTTCTGAAGTCCCTGTCTACATTTTTTTTAAAATTCTCTAAAAATGGAAACAAAAGTTTCTCCCTTGAACCGTTCAACATTGTATGTCATTCAATCTAAGTGGTTTTTATTTGTGAAAAATTGAAGGAAGTCATGCTCTTCTTGTTAGATCAGCATTTGATTGAATACTCTCCATAGTAGTAAAATATTTGAGTTTCCAGTTGTTTATATCTGAGATCAATGTAAACTAAAAAATTCAGCATCAAATTTGTAGAATCTGATTCTGAATTCTATCATACTTGTTTGAAAAGTAGAAAGCCAACCAAACTTAATTGTTTAATTTGTGGACCCACGCATCAGCTTAGGTACTTGGGGGTTTATGTAGAAAATAAAAAAATTTATGTGTGTGGCAGATAGCATGTTGATTGCAGACAGCATTTAGTTCTTCAAACATGAAAACTTCCCATAACAGTATATGTAAATTTGTAAGCTCGGTTCATTCGACTTGAAGTGCATAATGGAAATTCTAACAAAAAGAATTTGCACCAGGAGATTGTGGTTTACAATACGCTGGAGATGACTAAATGCTCAACTCTGAATAATCCAATCGAGAATGATTTGATCTTTCCGAGTTGTATTTGAAGTATATAGAATGTTTTGAATCTTATCCTGCAGTTGCTTACTTTTCTTAAGAAATTCTTGTACAGAGACTTTTGTGGTCTCACCAATGGCCAGTGTTGCTCATTTAGATTCTCTGCCCTGATTGATACCCTAATAGATTTTATAAAATTATTTTTTTGCTTTTCTCTAAGCTATTGCTTGAAACAACTGGATATAGATTAGTTACGTACTCATTCTTGTGACATTGAAATAGGGAATGGAAACAAGGATGGCCTTTTCTCGGTTCTTCTCAGGGATTATAATTCACATGCCGCTGCAGTGTGTATGAATCGATTGGCGAAGTTAAGGTGCGTTTTAACAGCTGTAATCTGCTGTTGCCCTCTTGGTGTTCAATGCTTTTACAACCCTGAAATTACATCCTTCCGAAAATATTAAAAACCAACAAGTCAACTATGTTTCAAAGCTTCACTTCCACTGTAACGTGTCAGTTTATCCACTTCTTTATTTATTTGATTATGAACCACTGATTTGGGTGACTTGTTATAATAAATTGTTATAAAATAATTGAACTCGTTGTCATATTAACTTCGTATTCTAATGCAGATTCATTAGTGTCAAATTTGAATTGGCTTGTTGGATGTCGATTTGATGATAGTTAAATAAGTCTGAATCGATCAGTACTTCAAGTAGCTGCAAAGGCATTGTTTGAAGCTCCTCTTTTTCCTGTTGACAAACTCTTCCTGTATATGACTGTTTTGTTTTTGACTGTTCATTCCTTCCCTAAGACCTGTCTTATCATCGATGTTTTAAAAACCGGTCTGGCATTAATGCAAGCTGAACCTAGACAAGGGAAGTAACCAAAGTTAAAATACTCCAAACACCGTTGGAGCCAAGATTTCTTAAGGAAAATCTGGGGGAAAAAAGAACCTTTAAGAGAGTTCTAGATATCAGCTGAATCTCCTCCATGATGAAAATACAAGTCTGAAACATTGAATGTTTGATGTAATTCCAAGTGTTGTGGCAAGTCGATTTTGTAGGCATTTTCTCCAATTTTCTCTAGGACTTTGTATGGCCCAATTTTCCTTTTACTGAGTTTAGAATATGTGCCTGCTGGAAACCACTCTTTACATAGATAGACCATCACCATATCACCTCTTTGAAGCTTTGGAACCTCCATCTTTTGTCTGCATTTTCTTTGTGCTTGGAGTTCAACTCTTCAATTTTCAACTTAATGTGGTCATGCAACTCCATTTTATCAGCCATTCTTTCCCTTCAGTTTTTCCAGAATTTGGTATTGGAATCAAATCATAAAAACGGACAGGTTGCTTACCATATACTATCTCAAACGGGCTCTTTCCTGTAATTCGGTTTTTGGAATAGTTATAAGAGAAGTCTGCTTGTGCAATGACCAAGTTTTGGATATTCCCTGACCAGACATCTTAAAAGATTTCCCAAACTCCTATTAACAACTTCAGTCTACCCATCTGTTTGAGGATGGTAAGAACTGTTGTATTGCAACATGGTTCCCAGTTTCTTCCACAGAGATCTCCTAAAATGCGATAAGAACTTTGAATCATGATTATAAAATTAGGTACTCCATGTAAACGCATAATTTCTCAGAAATAATGAGAAGACACATTTGATGCATCGCTAGTTTTCTTGCAACTAATGAAATGATCCGTCTTTGAAAATCGATTAACCATAAATATAGAATCCATCCTCGCTGATTTCTAGGTAATCCCAACACGATATCCATACTTCTTCCTAAGGTGCTGTTGGAACCGGTAATGGGATGTACAAACCTATATTCTGTATTTTTCCTTTTGGTTCTTGGCATACTAGACATCTTTCAACAAATCTATACATATCACACCTCATCTTGGGCCAAAAGGACTTTTGCTCAACGATGTCATATGTCTTGCCCAAAATGTCCTCCCAAGCCTCCATCATGCATGTCTTGAACGATTCTTTTCGTTAAAGAACAATTTGGTACTCTAAGTTGATTGCCTTAAAACAGGAAACTGTTGTGCAACAAATAATTTTTTCGGTGTCCGCTGTTACAATCTTTCCAAATCAGACCAAAGAAAGGATCAGTAGGGTACATGTCTGTGGAAGAATCAATCCCTTTGATAGTAACATTCGTTTGTGTCAATAACATGGTCCTCTAAGTGCATCTGCTACTTTATTGCTTGCTCCAGACTTATGCTTAATTATAAAAGTGAATTTTTGTAGAAATTCAACCCAACATGCTTGCCTCTTTTTCAACTTCTTTTGGCTGTTGATATGTTTCAATGCTTCACGGTCTAAATGTAAAACAAATTCCCGTAACACTATGTAATGCTGCCAACGTTTAAGGCCCTCAATGATAGAATAAAATTCTTGATCGTAGGTGTTATACCTTCTCCTCATATCATTTAGTTTCTTGCTATAAAATGATATAGGCTTTCCTTGTTGACTAAGGATAGCACCAAAACCAATTCCAGATGCATCACTTTCCACTTCGAACACCTTTTGAAAATCTGGCCAAGCTAAGGTGCTGAAATGAGCATTTCTTTAACCTGCTGGAAACTTCTTTCAGCTTCATTTGACCACTCAAATATGCACTTCAAACAATCAGTAACTGGGGCAATTATACTGCTGAAATTCTTGATAAAATGCCTGTAAAATGAAGCCAGGCCATGGAAACTTCGAACTTCAACAATTGTAGTTCGTGTTGTCGAGCTTTTTATTGCTTCAGCCTTACTTTCATCCACTTAAATACCTTTGGAACTGACATTTTATCCCAAAAATAGCAAAGAGTCGGTCATAAATTGACATTTCTTTAAGTTGGCACAGAGCTTTTTTTCTTGCAAAACATTGAGAACCTTGAGTGTAACAAATGAGTATCTTTGTTTTGACTGTAGATTAAGATAAACCTAAGGGCGTCACCCTCCACTCGTAGAGTCCCTCTTTTGTCTTGAATGTAGTCTTCCATTCATCACCTTCATGGATTCAAATTTGATGGTAGCCACTTTTTAGATCAATTTTCGAGAACACCTTAGCTCCATGCATGGGATTGGGAATCTGTACTTTTTTGTGATTTTATTGATAGCTCAGCTATCAATAAACATTATCCACGTACCATTTTTTTTTGGAGTTGAGAGGGCTGTAACCGCACATGGTATTAGAATCCCACATTACTTGGGAAAATATAAATGATCCACTTAATAAGGTGAGGGAAATCCTCCCCTAATAAGCCGGTTTTATTAGGTGGAGTTAGGCCCAATATTCTTAACATGGTATCAGAGCTAGGCCCAATTATGCAATGTTGGGTGCCACCCAATATCGATTTGTTCATAGTTGTTTGGCATGGTCCACGCTGTGCGTGAGGGGGAGTATTAGAATCTCACATTATTTGGGAAAATATAAATGATCCACTTAATAAGGTGAGGGCAATCCTCCCCTAATAAGCCGGTTTTATTAGGTGGAGTTAGGCCCAATATTCCTAACATATGGGCTCATTGACTCCCGAACAAGCCCCTTTTTTAGGCAATTCTTCAACCTATTTTTAAGTTCTTCATGCTCTTTATGGCTCATTCGATAGTGTGGCATATTGGGTAGGCTAACTCGAGGTACCTTTTTTTTTTGATAAGTAATCGCGTAATTTTATAGATTAAAATCAAAAGATAATACACAAGGAGTGCATTATCAGTTTAAACAAGATAGAAACGATAAAAAATTCGGCAACCCTTCTATCGGACTAATGGTTACAGCCTTAAACCAATTATACAAAGTCAAGTAAAACAATTCCCTAAATTGCTCCGTCGTCCGTATTTGGTCTTCAAAGCATCTGTCGTTTCGTTCTCTCCACACATATCAAACGATGCATCCTGGAATGAGATTCCAAACAAGCTTGCTATTCTTATCTTGAAACTTTCTCTTCCATGCCCACACCACCTCCTTGATACGCCTTGACAATACCCAACTCATATGTTGCGAAGCCATAATATCATTTCACATCCAACGTACGTCACAGGGAATAAACAAACGATCGATCTTCTCTCCATCTCTCTTACACATATAGCACCACTCCGTAATACACCATTACAGAATATCCCTTTCCCTCACCACCGTCCACAGTAAAAAAGTCATCATTGGAGGTAATTTTCTTTGCCAGACCTTTTGCCAGGGGAATGAACTCTCAACTGGTTCCAATGATGATCTGAAATAAGTACGAACAGAAAACAAACAATTTTGTGCTGCCCTCCGCATGCTATAGTCATCCTCGCCTACCTGAATGTGTACATCATACAGAGAGGCCAAAAATAATGCGTAGTCATCCAGTTCCCAATCATGTAAACCCCTCCCGAAAGCAATATTTCAGCTAGGATTCCCATTAGATATAGCCATAACATCACTCACCATAACTGAAGGCTCCAAGGCAATGCGATGTAAAGAAGGAAACCGCATTTTTAATGTTTGATCTCTACACCAACAATCTTCCCAAAGTCTGACATTCGTCCCGTTCCCTACCACAAAAGCCAATTTATTCTGAAAATCTCCCAATCCTTTCCTCATATACTTCCACAAGCTTATCCCATAAGGACCACGACCCTCACCCGAGCGCTACCCCCCTCCAAGACACCATACTTCACCCTAATAATTTCTCTCAAGAACTCTCCCTCTCCATTCCAAATTGCCACAACCACTTGTCCACCAATGCCTTGTTCAATAAACAAGGTTCCTCAATCCAAGACCCCCAACCCTAACAGGGGAACAAACATCACCTCATTTGACCAAATGAAACTTCCTTTTTTCCTCCAACTCTGCCCAAAGAAAATCCTTCTACATCTTCTCCAAACTATTTGCCACTGCAATGGGAATAGGAAACAAATATAGAAAATAGATTGGAAGATTAGAAAGCTTGGATTTGATGAGAGTGAGACGGCCTCCTTTTGACAGATAAATACGCTTCCACCTCGCTAACCTCCTTCCTGCCCTTTCAAGAATACGATTCCAAATATGTTTACTTTTAAACCTCGCTCCTAACGGAAGCCTAAGATCTGACATGGGCAATTGACCGACTCTGTATTCGAGTATGGTCGCTAATTCTTCCACATTAGCAAACTCCTCCACTGGAATAGCCTCAGATTTCCCCAGATTTACCTTCAAACTGGAGACCGCTTCAAAACACAGAAGCAAGCGATGCAAATTCCTAATTTGCATATCGTCTGCATCACAAAAAATCAGTGTGTCGTCTGCAAATAACAAATGGGAGACCTATAGATGACCAACCGCAAAACCTCTTAACAAACCCTCCGTCACAGCTTTCTCAGCCATTCTACTAAATGCCTCCATCACAATAACAAACAACAAGGGGGACAACGGATCACCTTGCCTCAAATCTCTACTACTCCAAAAGTAACCTTCAGGGTTGTCATTAACTAAAACTGAAAATGAAACCATAGAGATACAGAACTGAATCCACTTATACCACCTATCCCTGAAACCGCATCGCCTGAGCATATACATAAGAAATCCCCAGTTGACGTAATCATACGCCTTTTAAATATCAAGTTTACACAACATCCCTGGGATCCCCGACATATTCTATAAGAACTGAATCCAAAATCTGACGCCCCTTTATAAAAGCATTTTGGAACTTGGACATCACTTTTCCCAGAACCTCCTTTAATCTATTCGCTAACACTCTAGCAATGATTTTATAAACCCCACTAACCAAGCTAACGGGATGGTACTCCTTAATATCAGTCACTCCCGATTTCTTAGGAATAAGCACAATGAATGTGGCATTAAGACTACTCGTAAACCTACTACGTTCGAAAAAATGATTGATTTTATCCATAATGTCTGATCTAACCACCTCCCAACAAGCTTTATAGAATGAGAACGAGAACACGTCCGGTCCAGGGCCTTATCATCATTCATATTAAACACCAAATCCCTAATTTTATCCTCCTCAAATGGTCTCTCAACCCAACTAGCATCCTCTTCGGTGATAGTGAAGAAGTCCAGCCCCTCTAGCTCAGGCTTCCACACAAACTGCTCCCGATAGAGATTTTGATAAAATCTCACCTNCCACACAAACTGCTCTCGGTAGAGATTCTGATAGAATCTCACCTGCTGAGTCACAATATCTTGTGAATCCTCATACATAACTCCATCAACCTCCAGCAGTGTAGTAGAGTTATTGCGCCGGTTGGAATTAGCGACCCGATGAAAAGACTTTGTGCATTTGTCACCTTCGACTACAGGACCCTAGACTTTTGTCTCCACGCAATCTCCTCCATCTCCACCAATTTCTCCAGCTCTACCCTTAACCTTCTACGCCTCTCCCTTTCCTCCCTATCCAACCCTTAGGAGGCAATTCTGATGGGAAAGTATCTGCAAATTCTTCAAAAAGAGTGCGTATTTCTGAAGGTATAACTTGCTGATCACCTTTTGCTTCTTTCTTCAATAGAACATAAGCAACTCCTTCAGCTTCAAATTCAGCCAGAAATTCCCGCAAGTTTAAAAAAGAATGTCCATTAGTTGCTTTAGACTTGGAAAAGTCTTCATCATTATTGAAACAAGTACTACTTTGGCTCCATCCTTGTAGAAGGCATAAACATTCCTTTCCCCATGATGGATAATTTTATTGTCCTATTGCCACGACCTTCCTAGTAATAGATGACATACCTCCATCTCGACCACATCATATAAAACCGTCTGAGTAAGATTTTTCAATAGAGAAAAGAACAAGACATTGATGTGTCACTTTTACCTTGCCTCCCTTCTTGTACCATGCTATGCATTAGGGCTTTAGATGAGGTTGAACTTTAAATTCAAATGTGACACCATTTTCTTGTGACACTATATTTTCATAGCTTCCTCCATCGATAATAACATTGCAAAGTCATCCATGGCTAGTATATTTAGTTTTAAAATAAATTAATCTAGGAAAACTAATAGACTTCTTTGACTGAACAGGTTTTAAAACCCAATTAATTGGAACAAAGACTTTGCATAAAACTAGACAATGACTCTTTGACTAAGACTAACAATTAATTTGCATTAGGCATCATCCTGGAAAAGGTAAAAGGTCAAAGGAACTGGTGGTAAAGTAATATTTTAAAAATAAAAAATACAGGTGAAATGGACTGGTACCGGTTCTTGCCTTGTTTCAATGGTTCCTACTTTTCTTGGGGATATATTTACCTAAAACTGGACAGGTTCCCGGTTAATCTAATTGAATTGGCTGGTTAGGTTGCTTATCATTTCCCTGAATTACACCAAAGCACTTTTGGTTTGTCTAGGCTAACAGTCATTAAGTTTCTATGCTACTACAAACTCTGCTGTCTTAGGCATGATCCTTGCTTAGAGCACTTTCTAAAATACGGAAGCAGCATGCTATAGCTTTCTTTACTTGAGACACAGAGGAAGACAGCAAATCTTTGTAAACCTTATATCTTGTCTTATGAAATTCACTGAGCACTGCGCAGGAACATTAGCTGCATGTTTGGCAAAAAAAATTTCAAGTTTATAAGCTGTTCAAACATAATTTTTAACCACACATTACTTGGGATCCACAATTTTATCAACTTTTTAAGTACACATTCCTTGGGACTCATTGTTTATAAGCACTTACAACTTAGCCAGGTAAGCACTAGATCTTCTAGTTGAGGAATAGGATTCTAGAAGTTACTCTTCCAATTTAAAGGTTCATATGAATCCAAGTTTCTTTTCTTCTCCTCTTTTTCTTATGTGTTTTGTGCTGGGGGTGTTCAGAAAGGTGATCATTGTTTGGTAATCCATTGGACATTGAGAATGTAGCTAATGATTGAATGTAACCCTTGCTAATTTGTTGGGGGTTGGGGTGATGGAGAGGAAAAGCAAATATAGTGCTTAACATTGAGGGTTTTGTCTTAGTTTTGCACTTCAAGGGAGACCGTTTTGCCAAGGGAAATAAATTATTTGCTTTCATTGATCGTTGTGTTACAATTTTGACTTAACCAAAGCAGAAAAAAGGACATAATAGTATATTGTTGATTGTTTGTGACATTGCAGTGCTCGATGGATAGGAAATCATGGGTTTTCCATTGGAATCGATGATGTCCAACCTGGCAATGAACTGAATGAAAAGAAGAAAAATACAATTTCTCAAGAGTATAAGAGGTGTGATGAGTTCATACACGAATATGAGCACGGACGGCTTAAGTTGAAAACTGGATGTGATGCTGCTCAAACCCTTGAAGCTCAAATAACCTCTGTATTAAACAAAATTCGAGAAGAAACTGGGAATGTAAGAGCGTGTTTTTTTATTTTTTATATATATGTTTTTTATTTCTTAAATACTAGTTATACTGTGAATGGGTGTATTTTGGCTTACCTCACAACCACTTCCGGGAGATTGCAGACACTTTTGTCTTGATTACTTCTTTACCTATTTTCTGTTGGCTCATCCAGTTTAGATGTACCTACTCGTGGAAAGGTTAGTTGCTGTACATGGCACGTGGCAACCTGACTTCTTTCTGCTCCAAGTGTGTTCAACTGTTTGCACTGTATTTGAGTCTTAATAATTTGAAATTATGTGAATTCAACGAGGAATATCTGAATACAAAAGATTGTTTGGGAATGTGTGGAATGAGGAAACAAAATAAGGGACCTGTACTTTTTTTGTGAATAATATCTTATCAGGTGTCTATATATGTATCATTCCTCGGCTGGGGTAAAAATGGGTATTCATTCCCTTCTTTTTGCCATATTAGAGGATAGTCTATCCCAGCAATGGGGTAACCCGAGGAGGAAATTAGGCTGCAATCATTTTAAATCCTTTCTGCCTCAGAATTAGATTCTGGAAATGAACTCAGGTGTATGACTATCGTTGTCAAGACTGTAGACAAAGATGTTTTTTATGCATGTCTGCCTCAAAAGATCTACATTAGACTCTTACCATCTGTTGTCCACTACATATGGGACTGAACTCAGCTTCCACGTTGAATCTCTAATATTGCACTCTCGCAACTTCCTATGCATTTTTCCCATATTATCAAGTCATCTATATTTGACTCAAATGTACTCAATGACTGTCAGACTTGTGTGTTGTCTCTTCACAAAGTAAAATTTTCCCTTGAACTCAGTTCTAATAGTTCTGATACGGATTGGTTTTGATAGGTTTGTATGCAACATCTAAATTGGAGAAATAGCCCGCTGATCATGTCACAATGTGGTTCCAAAGGATCTCCTATCAATATCTGCCAGATGATTGCATGTGTTGGTCAGCAAATTGTTGGAGGTCGTAGAGCTCCTAATGGATTCATAGATCGAACTCTTCCTCATTTTGCAAAAAAGGCAGTGGACCCAAATGTAAGTTCCTTTATGGACTTTTAGTTGTCATAATTTGTCTGCATTGTGCCAGAATTCATTTGCTTGTGTTTATTGTTCTTTGAGTTCTTCAGGAGAAAAACTGAGTCTGCCTTGCTTATTTTCCCATCTGTTTCACATTAATATTTTCCCCTTATTTCCCTGTTCCTATGATCTTCTTTCTGATTTGCATGACATGTTTATGTCATGGCAATAAATCATGCAACTTTAAAAATGAGTGCTTTGAAGTAATAACCTATTGATTGTGACAAATTCTAGAAATATTGTTTGTGATGTAAATGAGATGAATAAAAATTTGATCTTTAGGTTCTTATTTTTGGGGGGTGAATTCAAATATTTATTTACTGTATGCTGTTGAAAAAGAAATTGAAATATATATTCCTATTACAGTATTTCTCTGGTTAAGGACATCTGCTTTTGTCTTGCGTGTCTTTGATTGGTTGTGATGAGCGAGACGCCAACTTTTATAATTGGTGCTTACATGAAAATCAAACAAGTTGAAATTATATGGTTGCGACACTCATAAAAAAGTGATAGGAGACAGGCAAGGCCCATTAGATTAAGGTTAAATGAAGGATTTTGGTTCTTGCATTTCACGATAGTCTGTTAGTTGGGACTTATAAGAAGTGACATGGCAGGCTGATTGGTTTGGTAGATTATAATTGGATCTGCATTAACTTGATAGTGGATCTAAATTAACTTCTCAAGGCAGATCAAAGTTTGTTTGGTACTGACTGGGTTGAGTGCACTCACCAGAACACTTAGAACAGTTGGTTGAATTGGACATCGTTCAAATGTCTAAATTGTCCTTATATCTTACTGTTCCTGTCACACAGCTAAAGGCTTTATGAATTATGATAAACGAATACTTACGGAATTTATAAGAGCTGGGCATAATAATTTGTATGCAACTTTATACTTTTGTAACTTATTAGGCGCCTGTTTATTGTAGATTAAAATCAGATTTTTAATAAATTTTAACAAAAGTAGATGAAATGTGTGGCTAAAGCCCTTGTTTGGTCCCCATTATTTCCAAAATACATTTTTCTCCCTCTTATTTTTATCCTCACATTCTCCAATAAAATAATATTACAAGCAAATCTATGACTTTTTCTTATTTTTAACCACACATTTTCCATCAAAACACTATTCTAAAATGCATTATTTTCAAAAAAATAGGGCTCAAACAGGCTCAAAATTAATTGTTACTTTGACTTGAAATTTTAATCCGATTTTGATCCTCACCAAATGAGGGGCTAGATATAATTCGCTTTGCGTCCCTGTTCCAAGGCCAGCATGATAAACGTTTAGCCTGCTGCTCTGGAGAGACATGCTTAATTATTCTACCAAAAGCCATTTCTTCTTTGTACTTGTGTTGTCAAGCTGGTTCACACGGGTTTATTTAGTCGCTTTGAGTTCCTCACAACTTGTCATGTAGTGAGTGCATTAGTTTTGGCCTTAGTAGACCCCATTTCTGACTTTATTAAGTGCCTAAGCATTCAAAAATTTGTATGTTACAGGCGTTGGTGATAATCTTTATTGTTTGTTGATTTGTTAAGATATACTACTAACATGAACTTAATTTTTAAAGCCGTGAATGTTATTCTTGATGCTAAATTTTGTCTTCCTTTATTAAATTCAGGCTAAAGGATTTGTTCAGAATTCATTTTATACTGGTTTAACTGCAACTGAATTCTTTTTCCATACAATGGGAGGAAGAGAAGGCCTTGTAGATACAGCGGTATGGATGATTTTTTTTGCTTTACTTAGTTAAGTACCCAGTATACAGTTTTAATAATTAAAGTATTGAGATTCTTACCTTCGTCTCTCTTTCTTTTTGTACCTGAATTTTGCAATGCACATACTTACGTTGACCCTTGCTGACCAAGAGTCCATTAATGTGACAGATTGAGAATTGGCTGATTGTGTTTCTACAACAATTAATACCCTACCATGGAATGACATCGATAGCTTCCTTGTAACATTAAATGTGGATCCTTTTCCAAACACTTACTACATATTGAGGTTCTTGTTCTTCAATATATATGGTTTCTGATCTTGGATTGGATGGTAATAGTTCATATTGTGGACGTAAAAGATTGTAAGCTGTAATAGAAATGAAGATTAGATGCTTAGAAGTTGTATAGTCTATCGTTTGAAGACTTTCTTGATGACAGTTGACTTTTTATGATTGGAAAAGGCCAACAGCTTCCCTTTACCTTTCTTCGTTTTTTTTTAATTTTGCAATTATGACATCATTTAAATGAGGCCTAGTTTTCTTAGTTGATGGAAGTTGGAAAATGGAAATTTTAGTGAGACAGAGACATATTTAGGGTAAAAGCCAAAAAAATAATGATTTGTCAAGGTACTATTCTCAAAATTAAAAAATATTTATCATTCTTTAGTCACTTCTCATTCTCAATTATTGAAATAATCTGTATCAGTTTGCGTAATCCTCGCTGAGCTAGAATGAAAACGAAAATCAAAAGTTTCCTGTCAGAATACATGTGATAAGACCAGCGGAAATTATTATCTATGGGTCTTTTCTGGAAGCAAGGGTTTCCTAAGTCTGAGTTATGGCAGATATTTCATGGATGGAAATCATCAATTTGTAGGTTTAGTTCATTTCGTTTATATCTTTTTTATCTGTACTTGAAGGCTTTCAATTGTTTTTCATATGGTTCGTCTTTCATGGGTGATTTTTCGCATGTTTGTACAATACTATTTACGTGATGCTATATGAATTTGGTCCATAAATTCACCTTTTAATCGTTGCAGGTTAAAACTGCTGACACGGGGTATATGTCTCGTAGACTTATGAAAGCTTTGGAGGATTTGTCTATTCATTATGACAGTACAGTACGAAATGCCAGTGCAAATATTGTTCAGTTTGTGTATGGTGATGATGGTATGGATCCTTCTCAGATGGAAGAGAAAACTGGATGCCCCCTAAATTTCGAAAGATTATTTATGAAAGTCAAGGTCGTATCACCTGTTGATACTCATCTGCAATTTTTATTCACTAACAGTTCATGTTTGGCTAAGATTTAAAAAAAGTAAAAAGTTACTTTTGGTATTTTTTGTTTCCAAACGTGTTTGCATATGTTAATTTTCTTACTTTCCAAGTAAAAAGGTTACTTGTGTTGAAAGTAACTCTTACTGTAATAAAAGAATAGTTTATTTTAATCCTTTACTTGATGGTGAACTTTTTTATGTCTTTTCTTAATTCTAAAACAGGCAACATGTCCCGCATTGGAACAAAACAGCTTATCTGCTTCAGAACTCTGCCAATTGATTAATATTTCAGAGCATGATATGACTCCTGAAGAGGGGTGGTCAAATGCGTTAACGAAGTTCATTGAAGAAAGTCAGGGGTGCTCAAATGCCTTTGCTACTTCATTATCAAAATTCATTACGAGCAAATACGAAGACATGGAGAACACAATTCAAGCCCTAAAACTTGATGGAGGACAACATGGAAGCGAACAACTTGGACATCTTGAAAATGTTGCTTCAAATATATCTGGAATTACTTCCCAGCAGCTCCGGGTAATTTGAACTTTTGCAAGTTACAAGTATTTTCTGAAAACTTCCTGGTTTCATCAATGACATAGGTGGGGTGGGGTTCAATAAAAAATCAGCATTTATTGCTGATTCAAGTAGTCAGTGGCACAGCCAGGAAATAGATTACTGGCGCACAAGTTTTTCTCTTAAAACAAGGCAATACATAATAATTTTAATCTGTCTCAATTTTTTACAAATGTTCCTTACGGATTTTCATGTTTTGAAAAATATCATTTCTGCAATTCACTCAAATTAAATATAAATATACTAAGCCCAACGATACAAACTGAAATTAATCGTTACAGAAAACTAGCAAAAAAACTAAGGGCAGCCATAATAGCATTCTGCCGAATGGCCAAAGGTGAAATATGGTTGGAAATTGGAGAAACCACACTCAAATGGAGGGCTGAAATTGGGATAATGGATTGAATGAGAGAATGAGTCAGGGGTGGGGGTGGGGGTTGGGGTGGTATGGAGATTTTGGATGGGATGGGGTTTGAATTTTGAAGGGGTGGTTTTTTTTTTTGGGGGCGGGGGGTGGATTTTGCTGAGTTTTGGTGCTAGAGAGGAACATAAGCTGAAGCGGCAAATGAATGGTTTTGACATGGCAATTTTTACTCAAAATAAAGATGATTTAATAAACAAGTAACTCTAGTGGGGGCATTTGACCCCACAGGACTCCTCTCCCTCAGCCCCTGCTAGTAGTGATCAAATAATCGTGTTTGTTAGCACTCATTGGCATTTCTTAAAGAATAAGACCCCTTAAAGTTAGTTCTGAATTTTTAGATGAAGTTCACGATTTATCTTGGGGCAGTAACCACACTAAAAAGAGTCTCCGTCACTTGGTTTCATCCTTCGGATTTCCCAGAGTTCACAGAATTTGTTGCAGCAACCCCTTAACTATCATTTGAGTCATGACTGGGCAAGGCAGATTGGTCCATAGAATTAGCATTATGCACCATCAAAGTAGCGAGCGATTCTTTCCCTAGAATCTCAACTTTAAACTTGGTGTAGACCCACATTGAAGCTGTGCAAGAAATAAAAAATTATCTCCCTATCAACCACTCCCAATGACTCTTGATGCATTGCTGCTTCCTGGACTTCACCCCTTTTAAAATAATCCAACTCATGACATAGACTTCTCAGTGTTGAGTAAAAAAAAAAGGCACAACTGCATTACACACCATAGAGTTGTTAATCAATTCCTTCTAGATTTCCCTTGCCTTTGAGAAATAAGCATATAGGTACAGCTGACTTTAATTTGCCTCGAATTCTGTAACCACGATATCATTTAAGAATCTACACCCCACCCAGCAATAAATTTTTAATCACNCCCCCCCCCCCCCCCCCCCCCCAACAATCCATGATTTCCTGTGCTTGAGGACATAATGATTCATCATTGGGAGTTTAATATCTGAGTTCCTATAGGTTCGAAATTCAGGATCAAAGTGTAGTTTATTCCTAGACAATAAACTCTTCATTTTTTAATGAATTGTTCAAGGCTAGAAAGAATTTTTGCAGTATTTTCATTTGTTTTCTATGCAAAAAGGAAGCTTTATTATATATGCAACCGACTCATATGCATCAGCAATTTTAGTATTTATTATATATAATCGTTAAACTGTGGTTGCTGTTTGCCCCCTACTAAACTATTGTAATATCATTGTCTTGGATGTTATTGTCAATTTACACGATATGAATCTGATATTGGTATCTTGCCTTGTTTATTTTTAGGCTTTCTTGAAAACATGCATCACCCGTTATCATTCAAAGAAAATAGAATCTGGAAGTGCAATAGGTGCAATTGGAGCTCAGAGTATCGGAGAGCCAGGGACACAGATGACATTAAAAACTTTCCACTTCGCTGGAGTTGCTAGCATGAGTATCCTTCAAATGTTTGATGCTCAACCAATTTAACAATCAATTACATTGCTTGGTTTGAACGTGTTTCTTAACTTCACAATAGATGTTACGCTTGGAGTTCCTCGGATAAAAGAAATAATAAATGCTGCAAAAAGAATTAGTACCCCAATTATCACTGCAGTACTTGAGTGTGATGATAATGTTGTACTTGCAAAAATGGTGAAAGGTCGTGTTGAGAAAACACTTTTGGGGCAGGTAAGTTGACATCTACATGAATTGATTAGCATGCAAGTACAGGTAGAGATGTTCTGCTACTGTCATGGAATTAAAAATCTATGGATTTCATGGAATTAAAAATCTATGAATTAAAAATTAATTTCATGTACAAGTTTTCATTGTTTTGGCTTTGCTGGAAAGTATTAGCTTGATTTTTTTACTCGACTGTTGCTTTGGTCTGTAGATAGCCAAGAGTGTAAAGGCGGTTCAAGAATCATTGAAGGCGAAAATAGTTATTACACTTGACATGAAAACAATACAGGACTCACAACTTGCCATTGATGCTCGTACAGTAAAAGAATCAATTCTGCAAACCCCTAAATTGAAACTGAAGGACAAGGTAAAACACGTTCTGCTTTATTTACATTATTTGTATAATTGTATTGCACATATTTTTAAAATTGCTTTGTGCTCGCCACAGGATGTGAATGTTTTAGATGAAAGGAAACTGCAAGTCTTTCTGGATAGTGATAGAAGTAAAATTCAGTTCGAACTCCAGAGTCTCAGAAATAAGCTCTCAAAAGTTGTTGTAAAGGTGAAACATAAATTGAATCAAAATTTCCAGATTAGAGAGCGTTAATGCTGCTGATACATTCTTTACGGAAAATTGCAGCTCTGAAACAACTCTCTAATTTTCTCTCTCGTGTTTCTGTTTCCTTGTCTCTCTGCTTGTGTGCGTTTGGCATGACAGGGAATCAATTCAGTTGAACGTGCCATAATTAACAGATACACCGATAAGGAAGATGGGAAGGAAAAGCACAACTTGCTCGTAGAAGGGTGGGTTTATAGTTTTTTTTTTTTTATGATATTTTCTTTGTACTTTCAAAAACTCAAGAAGGTTGCTATGCCCTCATTATTTTTAGCTGGCATTTCATGTACCTTGGGATGGTTGAATATTTTTACTTGCTCAGACAATATAGTTATCCAAGATTGCGATGAATAATTAATTTTGTTCTTATTTTTAAAATTCAGAACGGGTCTCCTAGCTGTCATGGGCATTCAAGGAGTTGTGGGGCAGAAAACAAAATGTAATCATGTAATAGAAGTACAACAGACACTTGGAATTGAAGCTGCAAGAAAGGTTATAATTGATGAGATTCAGTATACCATGTCAAGCCATGGAATGACCATCGACATACGTCATATGAAGCTATTGGCAGATTTAATGACATTCAAGGTCGATTTGTTTTTTCTGAAGTTCCATCGGTCCAGTATAGATGTATTTTTAGAGATTTGGACTTGAGTACTTCATTTGTCTCTGGTTCAAAACAGCCGTATTTTTTGCAAGTTAACTGCAAAGTATAGTATGTAATTATTGTAATGCTTATTAGTGTATTATTATTGTATTATTGTGTTCCATTGGTCCAGTATAGATGTATTTTTAGAGATTTGGACTTGAGTACTTCATTTGTCTCTGGTTCAAAACAGCCGTATTTTTGGCAAGTTAACTGCAAAGTATAGTATGTAATTATTGTAATGCTTATTAGTGTATTATTGTGTTACAATTGCAGGGTGAAGTCTTGGGAATTACAAGGCATGGCGTGCAGAAAATGAGAGATAGTGTGTTGATGTTGGCTTCATTTGAGAAGACTGCGGATCACCTTTTCAATGCTTCTGTACACGGGAGAGAGGATAAGATTGAAGGAGTAAGTGAATGCATCATTATGGGCATACCAATGCAAATAGGCACGGGGATGTTTAAACTCAGGCAAAGGTATGTAACAGCTTCTGGTATTTGCATCCTGAATTATCTCTATCACTCTAATTATCTATGTTAAATATTTGCTGTATAACCTGGAAATTGAGAGAAAAGGGGGAGATTGCAGCATTGGTCCCTAACCTATTGTCCAGGTATCAATGCACTCCCCAGCCTTTAAAAAGGAGCAAGTTGGCCATCAATCGTTCATTGTAGTTGCACAACCAATCCTGAATGACCAATACTTTCCAACTTGTACATGTCTAATTTCATGGGTTATGTTCTGTTTCGAACTTTGGCCAGTGGTCAGAAAATCGAAGTGAAGCATATTTCCATGAGGGTAACTTGACGCCTCAACGGAGATTTGGATATATTTAGTCTTTGGTGACTTGATTTGTAACTATAATTCAATGTTGAGGACTAACTGGCTTATTTTAGAAGTTGGGGCCCAACTTGCTGCTCGAGCAATATAATGATGACCACTGCTGCATTTATCTAAAAGAAATGGCGGATGAGGGAAACATGCCTGGTAAATCTCCATGAGATATAATGATTGCGACTATAACATGTAACTAGAAAGATGACACATCTTAGTTTTGAATACATTGAAAAATATTAAGTCCTGTACCACAGTTGAGACTTGTATGATACAACAGTTTCATTTTAGTTGCACAACCTTGTTCCTAGGCATATTAGCCATTTGCTGATACAATGGAACTGTGGGTGTTTGGAGATTCTCCAGGAGTGGCTATGTACGCTGTGTAGAATCCAGTTTTTTCACGTTATTCAAAAGAAAATCACGTTCCTTCAGATGACCACGATCTAGATGAGGAATTTTTCATGTCAGATGACCACAATCTAGATGAGGAATGTTTTATGTTGAAAGAAGTAACCCCGAGTAAAATTATATTCCCTGTTTCTTAAATCACTTGTGCACTATAATGTGCCATCCATGCAACTGCTTGTTCTCGTGACTAGATACGCTGTTTTTGGAGCTTTAGCTGACCCCTAATCTTTTACCCGTGCAGTATGAAGCAGCCTGTTGAGCTGATATACGGTGCAAATCCAGTTATACATTGAAACAAGCAGCATAGATTTGGTTCTGGAACTATTTAGCTAAGTGAAGTGTAATGTTATAAAGACTTCTTTGATCGCGTGATCAGAGTTGGCAGGTTCATTCGAAGCTTGGAAGTCATTTAAAGACGAGCATGGATGGATGCGGATACAAATTTTGCAAGTTTCAAATACAGAAATAGTTGCAAACCACCTTGCAAACATGGAGGAGAAAATATGGAATAATGCTACTTTTATGTAAGGAGTCACAGAAAGTTTTACAGAATGACGTTTGATCCAATCGTATTTCACCACATCATGTGTTTGTATGTCAATCTGTAAATGGCGATGTACATGTAGCACAACCGGAAAATATGACTATGGAAGAGCTGTGCACCGAAAAAAGAAGTGCAAGTTCGTAAGATTTCTAAAGGTTGTGTATTCTAGTTGAAAATTTCACGTTTTTAGTATTAGTTCAAATATATAGAAAAAGAACATATTTAGATGGACAAGTTTTAAATTCTTGGACGGGATTCTTCGACGGGCCTCTTTCCTGAAAGTGATTATTATTTTTTTGGTATTTTGACTTTCACCCTTGACCCCTCTCCCTGCCTCATCCTTTACAAGAGACTCGAACTCTCAGGTCATTGCTTCCATCTTTATAAAGATGTCACTTTGCGTTTAGCCCGATCTCAAGTCGATGTATCTTAATAAGAGTTTATGCTATAATAATAATAATAATAACTCAGAGAATGAAAACTCTTGAAAACAATTTCTTTTCATTATTGAAGAATCCGTCATTTCAACTTGCAGTTCAAAATCTCCAGTAGTTTTAATACAAAAATTATGAATAATGTTACTTGTACATAATGGAGATGCATAATGATTTACATTCAAATGAGGTGTCAAGAAAATTGAAATATTTTCTCTATTTTTTATTTTTTTTTGGTTGAAGAAATTGACCTTATCATACTTCACCACATCATATTACACAAACCATTATGTAAACTATTATACACGTAGCACAATCGAAAAATTATATACAGATATGCAAAAGATCAGAGGTGAAAAAATCTGTATTGTTTCTTTCGAAATTAATATGTATACTACAATGTCAATCATCTTACCTTTCTTCTCTCGTCTCCTTTCCAATCCACTGTATGCAGCCATAACACATCAAAGAACATCCCAAGGACGAACTATTGATAAATCAAAACCACCAGACTTTCCATAGTTTAATAATATGTGGGAATATATTGCCGAGCAGTTTCTTGATCCAGCAAGAATAAAATCGAAAATCACTGTGACAAGAGCTCCTCTTCAGCCTGCAGTTTCTTGAGTCGCCCTTTTGCGTATAATGTGACTATCACTGTCGTTGCCACTGAAATGCAAAAGCCAATAACGTTGTAAATAATCTGTGCGGCTGATAGTGAGAGCCGATCATTAGAAGCATTGGCCAAAGTTTTTATCAAGATGCCGCTACAGTAAAACAAACACCAATTGAGTTGGAGATTTGATCACGGAGGAAAACAAACGATAAAAGGCATAAATACAAGAAACCAAGTGCCAGAATATAAGTTATCAAATACGAGAAACTGAAGCGAACAATATGTCATTGCTCCGATAAGAATTCCATAAAAAGTCGAATACCACATTTGAAGTGCTATAAGAAATTTTTTGAGAGTCTTCTAACACAAGACTAAATCTTTATACAGTTCTGCCCCCAACCAATAGAAACAAAAACTTATATTGTGTATATATATATATATAT